ACTCAATAACATTTTCAATAGTAATCTTTACATAAGCGTCTTCACTATTATATTTTCAATAATAATAATCTTTCCTTTTAATACAATTCTACTTCAATTTGACTTTAACTACTTTAATTATATCTTTTTATCTTACTATATTATAAAAATTATTAAAATCTTCAATAAATCTTGAATAAATATCCAATGTCATGTTAAAACCCCTCTAAAGTCTCAAATAAATACACAATGTGCCTTTTAAAATCTTCAAGAAATAATTATAAGTATAATTTTAATTTTAATTTTAATTCTCAAGACATCAAGTTGACTCAACAAATTGATTTGGCAAAAAAATTTTAAAAATAAAAAAAGAAAAACACACACACACACACACACAAAAATAACCTCTGTTTCTATACTTCAACAATTGATTGGGCAACTTCAATTCCAAATTAATTCTAAAACTTGTTCAAGTCCAATATACTATATTATAAAAATTATTAAAATCTTCAATAAAAACCAAATAAATACCAAATGAGTCTTTTAAAATCTTTCTAAAATCTCAAATAAATGCTAAATGGAACTCTTAAAAAACTTCATTGAGAAACTTGAAACCTGATTAAATTATATTAATGCCCTTTCAAATTTCATGACAAGCACAATACATATAACTCCTTATTAGATTAATTCTCCACATAATAATACTTAACAATACTCTAATTATGTCAAACTTCTTACTAACTTTTATTAAATTCCACTTTAATTACCATAAAATAATACGACTTTTACATCTAAATATTTTTAAAGTTGAAAACAACTTATGTAAATATATAATCCGACTTCTATTTCAATTATATAAAGTGTTTAGCATAGATACAAATTATATTATATTCAAAGTGGCACTTTGCAAATTGATCCTTATTTACTCAATTATTCTTGGACTAAGGGAGTAATGACTAAGATGTAAATAATTCTAGATAAATGTATTTCTTAATAATGATTCCTAAAATTTTAAAGTTGATTACTAAAATATCAAAAACTTTAAATAGCAACAAATTGTAGTACATATAACGAATGTGTATCAACTATCACTTGATAAGGACTACTATCAACTTATAAGACAAATTTGAAAAGTAGAGAATGAGTTCTAAATAAACCACATAAGCATAAACAGGAAGTAAGAACACATACAAGGAACCTAAAAATAAAAAAGGAACCTTTGTGAGAAACCTAAAAATGTTTTTAACATTCTCTTTATCAAAAGTCTAAACTATATATCAAAAAATTATGAAAATAGTAAAGTAAAAGCCCATACATGCTTTGAATATATTCATTAAGAAAAAGAGAGAAAGAGAGAGAGAGAGAGAAATTACAATAAAAATGATACATAATAATAAATAAAGATGCAAGAAGTGACTAGGAAAGAATAATATTGAGAGAATAAGGATAAGAAGAGAAAAAATAATAACAAACAAATTATTAA